CCTGCTCCTCCCGCAGCTTCTGCACGGCAGGGAGAGATCAAGCACTTGTTCAAGCCGCCCTCCCTTTGCATGGCCGCAGGGGCTGAAGATGGGTTTCCAGACCCCCCAAGCCCCTGCTCGCCGCTTGCCATGCTCCTGCGGGGTCTGTACCTGCCTGCCAACGGCTTCTCCTGCTCCCCCCGTGCGTGCCCTCCCACATTGCCTCTCCTCCTCCATTGCTGGGTGCAATGAGAAATCTGCTTGGCTCCCGATCCTTGAGTGGGAGGTGAAGGCAAAAAAACCTGAGACTTCAGCTCCACAGCATGTGGGATGTGGATGATGGCAGATCCCCACCCTTGACTTCTCCACTGTCTCTGGGGCGAAGGCAGAACCCTCAAATCCAGACCCTCAGGGCTGAGCCCACCTTCCCTCGTGCGTGGGGACAGCCTCATTATTTGGTTCCTGGAGAAAAGCAGGTGACTTCTTGTGTCCCCTGCTAAATCAGCTCCTGGGGACCTTCTGACAAACACCATTAGTTGGGGCAGCCCCGGGAAGAGGCCCCACGAGCTCCCTTGGGGAAGGCTTTGGGAAGGAGTGTCAGGAACTGCCCCAAGCCCTTGGTGCTGGTGTGATGGCAGGAGTCCAGTGAAGACCCCTTCTCCAGACCCTCGAGACACTGACCTGGCCAGAACAGGAGTACTGGGATTTTCAATGAAATAAGGCTGAAGGCACCAGCATGGTAAAGCTGGGCAGCCCTGAGTCTGCCCCTTTTCCCTCCGAGCTGGACAGGCTGGGAGGTGGAAGATGCTGATAGGGCTTGTTGTCATTTTTACTTCCACCGCCATGGCCAAGAGCTATTGCAGGACACACATGTGTGCCATGTTGGGTGTTCTTCCTTCATCCTCCTCCCGGAGCTGCTCCGGGCTGCTGCACTATCTCACCCAGAGACATTGGACTTGTCACCCTGAGCATTGCCGAAACGAAGCCCCCGGTTGCCAGCCCAGCTCACCTGGTATTGTCCCTAGCGTGCAATGCATCTCTCTTTCTCTGCCTTCCTAATCCAGCCCTGCTGCCAACTGCAAAGTCCTGTCTGAAAAGGAATAACAAGACTTTAGGAAACAGCTTTGCAGTGCCTGCTGCCCAGAGAGGGAAGGATTTAGCCTAAAGCCTGTATAAATGCTCTGTACTTATTGCAGGTTTCCTTCCCCTGGCTTCTCCAGTCCCAGGAGACCTGTGCGCAATCCTGATGCTCCAGCCGGCAGC